CTCCCTCCCCCCCCCTCTCTCTCTCTCTCTCCCTCTCTCTCCCCCCCCTCCCCGGAATGGGACACCCGAAAAGCAGTGTGTGGGGTGTTGGGTGTATTCACGACTTGGGCATTTGTCAGGGGGTCAGAAAAGCTGGTCGAAGGAGGGCAAGCGCAGGAGCCGGCACATATCGGCGCGAGAGTCGCGCGACCGGGTCACCAAGGCATCGAGGGCTCGCAGCCGAGGGGACGACCCGGCGGCCGGGGAGGTCGGGCTGGCACCCGGGGCGCCGGATGCCTCGGACAGGTTGTCCAGCCAGGCAGACACCTGCCGGGCCTGGACACGGACCGCACGCTCGGGCGCCGTGACCACCTGGTGCCGGCCGGCTGGCCGGGTGAAAAGCCGCTCGGCGCCGGCCGCAAGGCCCATCAGCCGGTCAAGGCGCAAGTCGCGATGGGCCGCCCGGCGGCGCCCGGTGGCCGTGGCCTTGCCAACGCCTCGGCCACCTAGCAGGAAGCCCGGACGCAGGGCCGGGACGCCGGAGGCCGACCCGTCAGCCGTGGAGGGACCAGCACCGGCCGCCGCATCGCGGCGCTGGCTGATGATCGTGTGCGCCTCGGACAGCGAAGCGAGCAACAGCGACAGGGCCAGGTCCACTCGAATGATGGCCCGGTGGGCGGTCTTGGACGAGTCATCCGGCAGGCAGAGCTGTGGCTTGGACGGCCTGAGGCAATGATTCCAGCACGCAGGAGAGATGCGTTAGCAGCAAGACAACGTGCGCGCGTGCGCATGTGTGTGTGTGTGTGTGTGTGTGTGCATGAGGATCGAGCGTGGGTGTGCAGCCAAGAGGCGACACAGGAGAGGCATGTACCACTCGGTGTGAAGGCGGGCGAGGTCCGAGAGAACGGCCAGCAGCCCGGGGGGGAAGTTCAAAGCGAAGACTATGGATTGGGGATTGACCGGAAACTCGGCGAAGACCTCCCGCGCCACGGGCAACGGCGCCACCAGCGTCAGCCGCAAGTGCAGCAGGGAGGTCAACAGCGGCAGCGGCAGCGGCAGTGGATTCGACTGCCGGAAGTTGTAGTTCGGCACCATCTCGATCTGGTGCATCATCGCCGATGAGGGGTGGCCCCGGGGCGAGGCCAAGTGCGTGGTCGGCGACCGGGGCTGCGACTTGGCCGACTGGTCTTGCGATGATTGTTGCGGCTGCTGCGGCTGCTGCTGCTGCGGGTGCGGGTGCGGGTGCGGCTGCGAGCGCGGCTGCGGGTGCGCCGATGCCGACGCCGGTGTCTGAGCAGGGCCCCGTGCCGAGTCGGCCGCGGCATTGGAGGCAGGGGGGCGCGGCCGCACGGCCGGCTCCGGTGCTCCGGGCTTGGGTGGCGCCCCTGTCGGGGGCGGGCCATGGGCCTGGGCCTGGGCCTGAGAGGGAGGGGATCGGACGGCGGGCGGGGCCTTGCCGGGTGCCGTGTCGCGCGGCTGCTGCGACGCGTCGGCCATGGTCCCGGCCCCGGTGTCCGGGGTTTGCAGGGGCTGCTGCGCCGGCGTGGGCGAGGGAGACGGCCGGGCGGCCGCGGCGCCGGGCCCCGGCCCGGGCGCTGGCGAGGGCCGAGTGGCCGCAGGGGCATGGGCCCCAGCAGCCGGCGCCCCCGGGGGAGGATGGGACTCGGGCCGGGGTGGCAGAGGCCGGACAGCCGGCCCGGCACCCGGGCCCGGAGGGGCGTAGTGCCCGGTTGGGGGGATCTGCTGCGGCGAGTCCTGATGCCAGGCCGCCGTATGGGGCGATGACGGGACGTGGGATTTCATTTGCACCAGCGGCAGCTGCTGCTGATGTGGCTGTGGGGGCGCCAGCTGGTGCGGGTGCTGGTGCGGCTGCGGCGGCGGCGGCTGCTGGTGCGGCTGCGGCGGCTGCTTGAGATGCGGCGGTGGGACACCGGAGCCTGGATGCGGCTGAGCTGGCGCTTGGGGCTGCTGCTGCTGCTGCTGCTGGTGGTGATGGTGGTGATGGTGATGGTGTGCCGTCTTCGGTTGGGCAGGGGGCTGCAATGCCGGAGCCGGGTGCATCGGAGAGTGCGACCGGTGTGCCGGGTGCCCAGCCGGCGGCGGCGGTGGCTGAAGCTGCTGCACTTGCACTTGGGACTGTGCCTGTGACGGGAGCTGGGAATGGTGCGCATGCCCGGGTGGGTAGGCCGCATGCTCGGCATACGGGTGGTGCGGGCTCGGCAGGCCGCGGGACTTGAGGGCGGCTGCGGCGGCCACGGCCGCCGCCGCCGCCACCCCGGACGCGCCAGCCTGCGGCCCCGAGGGATCATGCCCGGGCGGCACGCTGGCCGGCGACATGCCGGGCCCCGAGGCCACCATGGCGCCCGGGGCCAAAGCCGGCGGCGCCGACACCGGCGGCTGATAGGGCGACTGGCCGCCGACCGGGCGCCCACCAGCGGGGAAGTAATGGCCGGCGGCGGTTGCCGAAGCGGCGGCGGCGGCGGCGGCGGCCGCGGCTGCCGCTGCCACTGTAGCAGCGGGCGGCGCGTGCGGGTGCTGTGCCGGCTGCGCGGCACCATGTGCATGCCCAACCGAGGGGGGGTAGCCTGGCTGGCTGGCGTACGCCGGGTGCGAGCCGGAAAGCTGTCGGTACTGGGGAGCCGCGCCCGGGCCCGGGCCCGGAGCTGCCCCTGCATGCGGCGATGACCCAACCGCCGGGGTGCCGGCTGCAGCACCGGCGAAGCCAGCCGCCGCGGCCACATTCAAATGGTACCCCGCGGTGTTGGTGGCCGAGGCCGCGCCCGGGGCCTGGGGCCCAGGCGGCTTGTGATGCACATACTGGCCATGCGCCGGGCCGTGATGCGGATGGCCATGGTGCGGCGAGGGCCCATTCATGGCCGGAGGCATGCCCGGCGTGTGGGCCTGGTGCTGGGGCACTTGCTGGCCCGGGGCCGGCTGAGCGGCCTGCTGCGGATGGTGGTGATGGTGGTGCGCCGGAGGCTGAGCATGTGGTGGCGCGCTGGCATGCGCCGGCGGCTGGTGCTGCCCATACACCCCGGCTTGGGGGTGTTGCACCGGCGGCTGGCCCTGCGGCTGGCCCTGCTGCGGCGCCTGCTGGCTGTGGAAATGCTCCACGGGCCCTGCAAGCGACTTGGCTTGGGGATGGTGCTGGGCAGGATGGGCCTCGCCCCCGGCCGTGTACCCGGCTGCCGGCATGCCCGGCTGCTGCGGCTGCGGGTGGCGGTGTCGCACACCGGCCGGGGCCTGGTAGCTACCAGGGGGGGCATGCTGGCGGGCTGCCTCATCGACATACGCCTGGGATGCGGCCAGATGCTGCGGCTGTGGCTGCGGCTGGGAGTGATAGTGCTGCTGGGGCGGTTGCTGGTGGTGCTGATGCTGGTGGTGGTGCTGCGGTTGCTGGTGCTGCGGTTGCGGCGGCGGCTGCTGCTGGTGCTGCGTGTGGTGATGGTGCTGCTGCTGCTGCTGCTGCTGCTGTTGTTGTTGTTGTTGCTGCTGTTGCTGCTGCTGCTGTTGCTGGGCATACTGCGGATGCAAGTGCTGCTGGTGCGACACCTGTCGCGCCTGTTGCGGTGTCGGCTGCTGTGGCTGCTGCGGCTGCTGCAAATGGTACTGCTGATACGAGCCGACGGGCTGTCGCTGAGCATATTGCTGAGAATATTGGTGCTGCTGCTGCTGGTGTTGCTGCTGCTGCTGGTGTTGTTGCTGCTGCTGCTGCTGCTGCGACAGCTGAGAGTGATGCGAGTGGATCATGTGTGCGTGGCCCGCTGCCGCCTGCGGGTGCTGCTGCTGCTGTGCCCCGGCAGATGGGTGGCCCTGGTGCTGCAGCGAAGGGGCGTGCGCATGGCCAGCGGCCCCAGCGGCATGCATCGCCTGGTGGTGATGATGCTGCGCGTATCCCTGGTATGCGGGGTGCTGTTGGGCTGCCTGGCCCGGGGCCGGCACCTGTTGGGGGTGATAGTGCCCGGCAGCGGCGCCGGGGTGCGCCTGGCCAGCGTGGGCGCCCCCATGCTGTGGATGATATGCGCCATACTGCGACCCGGCCGCGGCGGCGGCGGCCGCCGTCGCCGCGGCATACGCGGCGTATGGGCCCTCCTGAGGGTGTCGCGCCGCCGGCGGACCCTGCTGCGAGGGGTGTCCATACGACTGCGCCTGCTGCTGGTTGTACCCGGGGTGGCCGCTCATCGCGGGAGGGAGGAGAAGCGGGCCGGCACCGGGGGAGAGGAGGGAGGGGGGGGGGACGGGAAGATCGGGCGAAGGACTGCGAGGCGGGTTGCGGAGGGATGGACGGACGGGCGGCCGGATGGGGGCCAACAAAGAGGCGGCACAGCGGGGCAAAGGCAGGGAGGAGGTAGACTGGAATGCCGAGGATCGGTGGCACCCGGTGAGGCCTCCGAAGAGTGTCTTCACCTGGGCGATCTTGGTGCCTCTCCCCGGCTCGGGCCGGGGGCCGGGGGGGGGGG